GCGGACGCACCACCACCACCACCACCACCGCGGCCAAGCCGGCTGTTCCGCTGCATACCACCCCCTTCACGCCGCCTGCCCGAGACCCGAACGCAATGGACATTGACGCGACCCGTACGCGCGAGGAGTTCAACCGCCTCATGCGCGGCAAGTGCTACGGTTGCGGCTCTACGGCGCACGTCAAGAAGGACGGCGGCCACGATCGGGACATCTGCGGCTACTGTCGCCGCGTAGGGCACCGCGAGACGGTATGCATGGACAAGTTCCTGAAGAAGCCCCGCTCGCAGAAGCTTGCTGCAACGGAGGAGGGACCCGAGGAGCCTCAGGTCGCAGCGTCGACGTCGACGTCTGCAGATGCCGGAGCGACCAATGCCCTCATTGCCCAGCTCATGGAGCAGCAGAAGGCCCTCGCCGACCAGCTCGCCTCTCTGCAGAAGTCTTTTTAGAGCGGGCGCGCGCGAAAGCTGCCGCAGCGGCGCCCCCTAGTACGACTACGGACTCTCCGCCTCCCCAGATCCCTGACCCCTGCGTGTACGATAGCATTAGTTCGTGTATCATTCCCGAATTGAACCTGTCTAGCTCGCATTTCCGCGTCAGTGTGATACTTAAAGGCAGAAACCGTAGTGTACGTTCCGCAGCTATGATAGACAGTGGGGCAACGGCCCTTTTCATCAGCCACCGTTTCGTAAAGAAGAACAACGTTTACCTACATAGACTAGCTAGAGACATCCCCCTCTACAACATCGACGGCTCCAAGAACAGTGCAGGCAGCATATCCCATTATGTTAGATTACAAGTACTTATGGGCGACTACACGGAATGGCTCGAATTCTTAGTTACAGACCTGGGCCCCGAAGACGTCGTATTAGGCTTACCTTGGCTTCGCAGGGTCAATCCGGACATTGACTGGCAGGAGGGCACCATGGAGGTTGGTGCGGAGGAAACAGAGGCCGAGGCGGAATGGAAACCCGGTATTGAGCGGATCGCCGCCAACCGGGTGCAGCGAAGGAAGTGGTGGAAGGCCAAAGTTCTGGAGGACACGACCGAGGAGTTGTGGTGCGCCGCGGAATACACCTACTCCACTGAGCTCGCACAGAAGGCCAACCAGGACAAGCCCAAACGCACGTTCGAGGAGATCGTCCCGGAAGAGTACCGACAGTACTCGAAGGTCTTCTCGGAGACCGAATCGGAGCGCCTCCCGGAACACAAACCGTACGATCATGCCATCGACCTCAAACCCGACGCCCCTGAAACTCTACGCTCCAAGGCCTACCCGATGTCGCCCAACGAGCAGGAGGAAGTTGATCGGTTCCTCGAGGAAAACCTTCGGAAAGGCTACATCGTCCCCTCCAAGTCCTCCATGGCGTCCCCGGTCTTCTCCGTAAAGAAGAAGGATGGCAAGCTCCGTCTAGTCCAGGACTATCGCAAGCTCAACGAGATCACGGTGAAGAATCGCTACCCTCTCCCCCTTGCGTCCGATATCATCAGTCGCCTGCGCCAGGCCAAGTATTTCACCAAGTTTGACGTTCGCTGGGGCTACCACAACGTCCGCATCAAGGAGGGCGACGAGTGGAAAGCCGCGTTTACGGTCCACGATCGAGGCCTATTCGAACCGCGGGTTATGCTGTTCGGACTTACCAACTCCCCTGCCACGTTCCAAGCCCTGATGAACTCGATCTTTGCCGATCTGATCGCTGCAGGGAAGGTCGCGGTCTACCTGGACGACATCCTCATCTTCAGCATGACACTCGAAGAGCACCGTGCCGTAACCCACGAGGTGCTGAAACGACTCCAGGAACACGACCTCTACCTGCGACCGGAGAAGTGCGAGTTCGAGAAGACAGAGGTAGAGTACCTCGGCCTGATCATCCGTGAAGGCGAAGTGGCCATGGACCCAGTCAAGGTCAGAGCCGTCACAGCGTGGCCAGCGCCCAAGAACCTGCGCGACCTGCGCGGCTTCCTAGGGTTTGCCAACTTCTACC